CTCCACCAACAGGTCTAGCTGAGCCATGTCTCTCTTTAACTCCCCCAGAGGACGGTACTTGGATGTCACAGAGTCCTGCGAACATGCACACCACATTTAGAATGTCTCCCCACTTTTACCTTGATGTCAGATATCCCTGATGGACAAATAAAGCAGTTATTTACACTCTTCTCAAAGCCAAAGTCCTTTCATTTTACAGTTGTTCTATTGCTCCCTTGATCTGTTACTTTTTTATGTTATTGTATACTTTGGTAATCCAAATTAACCATTTAAAACACCACAGTCACACAATAAAAAAATTCTGCGTCTCGTGTCATTGATGGTTGAAACGGGCTCAGTTCGGTTCTGCTTCTCAGAGCTAGGGGCGTGTCGCCAACTATCTACTGTAATAGAGCCATTTTGAATAGACGTCTTGAATAAGCCCACTTCAAAATCTATCCCTGTAATCTGGTATGGAATATGCTACACTGTTATTTATTGGTCTGTCTTTGCTTACTGGGTTCAGGTCCTCCTTCATCTTCTTCATGGCCCGTTTCAACTCGTCAGCACTGATGGTAGACTGGTCGTCTTCTATCTCACTGCAAACACAGAATTTTAGTGCGAATAGAATATTCAGATTTTATTCTGCTCAAAGAAGACCACTAGGTAGTAATAGCTGCTGGTTCTACAAAGACCAAAATAGGCAAATCAAATATTACTTGATGACACTGATCTTAAAGAGACCCATACCGGTGTTCGTGTGTCCAATACTTAAGCTGCTCCTCGCCCAATCGGACCTCCCTCTGGCCTGTCTGCAGATTCAGCCTCACATGGGAACCTGCTGGCACTGCCTGGCCTAACACACACACACACACTAAGTCCAGAACTAAAGAGTATTTTTGACTAGGACAAAGTAGGAGTAATTTACCTGCTTTGAGTGTTTGCCAATTATCGGTAGGTTGGATCACCTCAAAATCTCCTTCATCTTCATCAGCAATCACCCCTGCTTCCTTATCAGCTTCCTTCCGTCCTTCTGTATTCTCCACCACAGTTAATGCACAGTCAGACTGCCCACAAATACACAGCAAAATTCATAAGTTAATTTTCTGGTGTTAGGCAAAAAAGTTGATTCAACTGTTATAGAGTCAATTGTACGAAAGAGCTGGAGTCATTATCCAGTGTCAAGGACTTGGATTTTTAACTCAACACATAGTCTATTTAACCCTGACCAGATCTATTTTTGACACTTATTGATTTAACACTGACAAGATTGGGACAGTATTAACACCAGCTTTGGGTTAAAATTGAATCTCAGAGTCAACTTAACTCTCTGAAATTTGCTGTGTAGAGAACAACATCATATATTTAGAAGTTTTGCTACTAACACATGAAATTAGATTTTGCTCTTCATAATTCCCACTGGAGCACTAAACCAGTGTGCTTTTGAAAAGAACCAATGTGAAACGCCATTATGACGCAAAATGTTGAATATCCTTGCTGTACAATGATGAACACATTCCGGGAAATGCAAATAGTGTTGGAGAGAGAGGCAGAAACTTTGGTGTTATGTCCCTACTGGTTTTTGAACCTACAGTGGGCCTCCTCTTGGGTGTTGTTTACTTAACATTAGCAGCTGTTTTCTGCCTCACACATTCACAGACATATTGCTGAAAATCTTCAAAAAGCATCACATATCAATTAGAGATTACAATCACTGCCATGTATGAAGTAATACATTAGAGAAAAATGAATGCTCTTTACCGGTTGTACAGTAACGTACATCACAGCCCCTTACGAAGAAATACATTTAAGAAAATACGTTAAAGACGACTAGATTGGACTGCTACAATCACCATATCTTACCTGTTGGCGGTCGTTTGGTTAACCCTGCACTATATCATATTGTTAACCAAAAGACCACCAAATGGTAAAATAAGGTGATTTACAGTGTAGCAGTCCAATCTTGTATTTCTTTGTGGCTGTGATATAAGTCACCATACAACAGTCACTAAAGAACATTTGTTTTAATCCAAATGAGTCAGTGGTGAGAGGCTGCAGCCTTGCAAAAAAAGTATAGCTACACATGTGGTGAACATATTCTCGACACTGACATGTTGCAATTTAAGGAATAAATAACAAAATATTGATCACATTCACTAAGCGTAAGTGGTGGCCTGCGTATCGCAACTGCCTTTGGACCTTTTATAGCTTTGCTCAATAGGGTTTGAATTAGGGTGGCCATTTCCTTCACGTCAAAAAGGAGGACACTTTGCATACACAGGGACACGCAAACAGATATTTGTTTGGTATGATCCGGTTTTAAATTTTTACTATGTTTTTCCACCAGATTACATAAAGGTGCATACACATACCACAGAGCTATGTAATTAACATGAACAGGACTGAGTTGTATGACATTCTGACGGCACCGGGTGGCCAGAGCGGAGCATGTGAGGTGAGAGCTGTCCTATCTGTTAAAATGAGCAGTGAGATACAGTAGTAGTTACCGCTAGCACCCCCCCCCCCCCTCCCCTCCCGCGCCTGCAGCCGGACGGGGCATGTAAAAGCCGGACGAATGGCCACCCTAGTTTGAATCCAGGTTGTTGCTATCTTTCAAAAAATATATTTTTTTCATACATGGCAGTGATGTAGTGCTCACTTAATCTCAATCGTAATCGCTGCAGTGGATATGTGATTTGAATTGAATAATTAGAATTATAACCATGGGTTTTCATGTGAAAATAGCATTAAACAGAACATTCATTCATAGGTATGCAGTGTTATAACTACATCTCTGACGTACAACTGCCAACACAATGTTAGGGGTGAGCGAGTTCACTGTAGCAAGATGGCCGCCATGAGCGGACTCCGCCGTAAGACATCTAGCCTTTATACGCATACATACATATATATATATATACATACATATATATATACGTATATATATATACACATACATATATATACGTATATATATATACACATACATATATATATACGTATATATATATACACATACATACATATATACGTATATATACACATACATACATACATATATATACATACATATATATACGTATATATATACATACATATGTATATATACATATATATACATACATATATATATACGTATATATATATATACACATACATATATATATACGTATACATATACACATACATATATATACGTATATATACACATACATACATATATATACATACATACATATATATATGTATATATACACATACATACATATACATACATACATACATACATACATACATACATACATATATATATATATATATATATATATATATATATATCACCGCAGCGCCATAGTTGGTCTGAATAGACTAGGGGGAAGGAGATTCTTTTACTGGATTTGCTTCCGTTAGTTATTAGATCCTTTAATCATCAGATTCTTTGAGTGGCTATTAGTGAGGTGTTCTGAGCTAGACCATACAATACACATCTACATAATCCAATACAACTCACCTTCTGTCCAACATTGCTGGCTATCTGACAGCAGTGCAGTAACAAGAGAAGCGCGGCTCCAATCGCGCTGGTGGAGATCAGCTTCATTACTACTATGACGTCATACAGTGATCTGCTTCTCTACGGGCAGATGTACATTTACATCAGGAGCACTGAATTATGTGACATGTTGAAAGAGTTAGATGTGACTAGGAACTGAGTAAACGTTGATTAGGTTGGTCAAAATATGTCAAGTTAGCGGGTCGTGTGTGATATCAAACCAACAACGAGAGAAAAAAATACCCAGACTGGATATCAAAGGAAGAGTAATACAATCGAAATAAGATAACGGCAGAGCAAGAGCAAATACTCACCCGTAACAGTGATATGGCTTGATTGGCCGGGTCACGGACACACTGCACTCTTTTGAAGGCTTCCGTAGCTTTCCCTCCGGTCTAAACTCCACGCTTTACGTAGCTCCCCCTGCGTGGCTCGCTCGACGCAGCTCATACGTGGCTCGTTCTACGGAGCTTACTTTACGTAGCTCCGCCTACGTAGCTCGTTCAACGTAGCTACCCTACATAGTTCTTGCTCTTATTGTTTTCTACATTGTAGATTATTTTGAAGACATCCAAACTATGAAGGAACATATTTGGAATTACGTGGTGAACAAAAGAATGCTGAACAAACCAAAATGTTTTTTTATTTTAGACATTTTCCTTAGATAACAAGCTTTGCAAACTATCTGCTTCACGAGGGGGGTATATCTAGGGGTGTCAAAATTAATACGTTAATCTATGCAATTATTGTGGTCGAGACCAATGTGAAAATATTTTAAAGCATAAGATACATATATACAGTATATATAAACACAAGGGCGTAACCATGCATCCTTTGAGGGGTTGTGTCCCCCCAATATACAGCAAATATACGTTTATAAAAAATATACGTTTCATTCCTTCTATGAAATGTTTGTTAAGCAAAAAGCACTGGGACTCTAAGTGCCCGCTCAGCGGGGCCGTAGTGTCCGCCCCAGCCCCCCCGTCGACCGTAGCGTCCATGGGATTCCCCCAATGTCTAAACCATGGTTACACCCTTGTATAAACACCAAACAAAGTTTTGTTCATGCTGATGCTTTTAACTATTCTTTGGTGGCTATAATGGATGTTTGAAGCCTGTCTGTAACAAGGAAGAAATAAGACATATTGGGAATTTTACAATTTCATTCAGGAACCTCAGTAGCGTCTGGAAGAATCATACACCGTCGACCTGGCCCCTCCTCCTCATGCTGGAGGTGATACCATTCCAAGTCAGTCAACTTGGTTGAGTTGTTCATTCTAGCACGAAGAGCACGCTCAAGCTGATCCCACAAGTGTTCACTTGGGTTGAGGTCAGGCCATTCCACTCCCAATTTGTGGCGGTAGTCCCTGATGAACCCTGCTTCGAAGGGGCGAGGATTGTCATCTTGGAGGATGGAATTCGGTCCTATTTTTCAATATATAGCCTATCATGAAATGTATGTATGCAAGACAACTTTTAAGAAAACTCTTTTATTGAAAATATAACAGGAAATTGAAGTAGATTAATATTCACGTGTTTTGTAAAACTGAACACTGACAGTATGGCGTACATACACTACTGCTGAGCACACTCGTTCTCCATACTGGTTTGAGCGCTGACATGGATCACCTCCACCATTGGTTTCTTTCTTGTATCGTCTCTCTTAGTCTGCCACCTGATCTCCTCCTTCTCCTCGTCTTTACTGTCAGTTTCAGGAGCGCTGAGGGCAGGATCCAAAACACACAAACGCATCACTTATCACATTTCATTTGTCTCACTGTAGTTTACATCCATAGTAATTCCCCAACGAGTATGAATGTGTATTGTTGCGTTTCCATTGTTTCAGTTTCATTCAAAAAGATTGAAAAAAATAAAAACATTTTCAAAGTCTGAGTCTGCAAAATTTTGAGTGGTGGCATTTATACATTTTATTTGATAATCCTTTATTTGGTTTTAATCTGAAATCAAGATGTTAATGAATTTATTTTTCAAATATTTGTAAGAGTGCTTGTCAATGCTAAGAATGGTGATCATGTATTATCTCCAGAAAGATGAAGCGTGAATTCCAAGGAGAAAAAGATACCCGTGAGGTCCATCCCCTAACTGAGCCAAACAGAAATGAAAAATTACCTCATAAAAATCTTCAGGTGGCTTCTTGACAGCTAACTTATCAAAGTGTTATGTACGTTAAGCAACCTGGCAAATACTGACCTGGAGTTGGGAATCTCAACAGGAACGTCTCCACTGATCTTCACGCACTTTGCAGGCCGTGGCACAGAATCTGAACCTCATCCCAAAATGACAAAGTGATTAACGGTGCTACCATATCAACTTTCAAAAAATATAGGGCTGCAACAACGAATCAATGAAATCGATAAAAATCGATTATTAAAAGTGTTGGCAACGAATTTCATAATCGATTTGTTGTGTCGCGAGCAGCGGCGGCAGTTGTTGAGTCACATGACGCAGGCAAAGATGTCTGTTAGAGTTAACGTTAAGTCGTCCAAGGTGAGTATTTCACACTAAATAAAAAAAGTGTCAATGACAAAATATGCAAAGTCCGTAACATGGCACGGGGGCACCACGTTCTCCCGCTTTGACGTGAGGAACGTAAGGAGCCTCCAGCAGGTAACAAGCTAGCGTTAGCTCGCTAATAACACCAGTAAAGCAGTTAGCAAGACTAAGACATGTTTTTATTTACTCGCCTTTTTTGGACCATTAATTTCCGTTAAATCTGCGGTCTTGTATTTCGTATTTTGTCCAATTTTGGTTATTGTTGACAAATCTATTTGTATGTGTTGTACTTTTTAATGCTGTTATGCCTGTAAAGGGAGACACGGTGATCCATTAAACCAGCGCGGCTAACTAAGAAGCCTCTAATGCATTTATTTACAAATTCCATTTTAAATTCATCTCATAGCACTTGGTTATTTTTAGCTGTACTTAGATGTGGTGTATAGATTTACCTGCACAAAAATGTTAATAATTTAATTTAATGAATAAGCTTCAAGTAAACATGGGTGTGTGAAGTTTCTGAAGTATTTTTGCAATGTGAATTTGCAGTTATGTTTTAGAATAATGGGTTGGAAATGAAAGTTTTTAATGCTGTTTAAAAAAAAAATCTGTTTCATCGATTAATCAAGGAAATAATCGACCAATTATCGACAATATTACCCTTTCCTAAAGTCTTTGTGCTTTCCTTCCCCATTTCTGGGGTACACCTGGCTTTCCACTCGCAATTATTTTAATCATTTCTGTTATGAACTAGGAATTGAATGTATTGGACATCTTTTACATTGATCATTCTGTACACATGACATCCATTGTAGTCTGTCCATCCCGGGAGAGGGATCCCTCCTTTGACGTTCTCCCCATTGAAGGCTTTTTTATTTTTTGGAGAGATTTTCCTGTGCCAATGTGAGGGTTTTGGGACATGTGTACAGACTGTAAAGCCCTCTGAGGAAAATTGGTAAATTTGCGATTTTGGGCTATACAAAATAAATTGAATTTAATATGTTCATATTTCATCCATATTTCTTGCACTGTGTTAATTTGTCTTAGCGTCCAATGTATGCACAATGCGCCTTGTATGTCCAACATACTTGGCAATAAAGGGTTCGGATTCTGATTTCCTCCAATGAACACACCTTGTGTGGGGCTCACTGCCTCAGCTGCACAAGCAGGATCTGCTCCTGCAGTCTTTGTGACATCCATCTTCACTGCAAGGACATGCTCTCCCTTGTCAAGCTTTATTTTCTCAGAAGAGGGGATGACATCAAAAGGAAACTTCTCTTTCTTTCTCTTTAGCAACATATTCTTTTTTGTATCTAGATAAAAATATTTTAAGAGGCATCAGTCAGTCATACAATAAATATACCAGCATCCATATCATTAAAAGCAAACAGTCCGCACAGTTGGATCCAGGGCATCAGACAAAAAAATCATTGCACCACTGAGCGAAAAATAAATGTTACCCCCTTACCTTTGAGTTCATACTTGTGTTGCAGCTCTTCTACTTGTAACTGCAGTTTGATCTTGTCACTCTGTGTCTGTAGAACAAAAACACACAAAGGCTTTCTGTAACTTAATATCATGGAAGCAGTTTATTCAAGTCTGCTCCATTTATTGTTGTAAACATCACTCATAGAGACTGTAGCAGTGCTGCATGGGCATCATTAGTTCTGTTCCACTTGTGTTTTATAATATACTATGGAGCTCTGTGGATCTAGTGAAATTAACAGAAAAGACAGGCAAACTAAACATGGTCACCTTTTCCATCACTGAACTACAATGCGCTCTACTTTTGATAAGACATCTCTTTTAGTTCACTACTTCAGAAGTCAAGGAAACATTTCTGCAAATGTACAATTTAATTTAAAATTGTTGTTGCAAAGAGTTATTGCCAAATTCATATTTTATAGTTAAATTTAAATAAAGTTAAAGTTAAATATTAGTCTTTATGATTTTTTTAATATATAAAATCACACACATACATACATACCTGCCTCGTTCCTTATTTGAATATTCTGTACTGTGTATGTCCATTGAGAGCACATAAAAGTCAAATGGGCATACATAAACATGGCAAATAACGCAGATTCTGATCTGTGTTAGCTCTGTGATAGCTATGTAATATTCAGTAAAATTCAACTGTAAAAAAACATGAATGCTTGTATTTAGAGCGTAGGGCATTGAAATACTACATTTCACCAGTTTTCACAAATGACAATAAAACAAAAAATGTTTTTGCAAATTTTTCATTCTATTAGTATCTTGGATGTTGAGCTGCATTGCTACGTGAGCGAGGGGGCACAGGATGTATGCAGGGGGCGGTAACCTGTCTGAGGAGACGTTCAGATGAGAAGAGTTTCCTCTCCAGCTCCAAAGCTTTCTGGCTCTCTGACAAAGATTTCATCCTCTGCAGGAAAAGCTCGTCACCCATTCGCTCTGCATCCTTACTAACAGCGCACACAGAAGAGAAATTTAGGTCAATGTATTATTAACCAATCCTTAATCGAAATTAATAAGCACCACTTAGCATGAGGACCACGTCTTGAGCATGAGACTGACCGGTCTCCTCTGGGGAAAACAAGTAAATCTTTCAACGCATTAATTTGTATCAAGGCTGTTTCTAATCACTTCTCTAGGCATAAGAGTGTTACAGTATACCAGGAAATTCAGAAATAACGAAGGTATAATTTCAACACGGCCGAAAGTATAGACGGCCCTCCTGTTATTAACACATACAACTTTATCTGAGACAACTTTTTCCTGTGATGAAAACATTGTGAGCAGTTTAACTGCAACATGCAGCGGGAGACTTTCATAAGGCCCAAACCTATATGCTTTACTTCTCCCCCCCTGCCTCAGGACAGAGTTACAAGGGGTAGTGGCACACATGTCCCCATATGAAATGGGAATAGTCTTTGAGACTCGGAGCCAGCCAAAGGGTTCATGTGGCTGGCTTTGGTGGATTGGTTCAAAATCATTGAGACGGATTAGAACCTGAAAAGGGAGAACTGTGTTGGGATGAAGTTACCCAATTTCCACACTGTATGCTACGCAGAGGCACTGGCCCCAAGCGCTACAGCATCCCATCAGCTGTTGTAGGGAGGTTTCACCAAAAGTGCTGGAATTGCTGTTGCAGTGAGGAGAACAAAAGTATTTGATACACTGCCGATTTTGCAGGTATTCCCACTGACAAAGCATGTAGGAGGCTAATTTTTATCATAGGTACTCTCTAACTGTGAGTGACGGAATCTAAAACAAAAATCCAGAAAATCACATTGCACGATTTATTGCATGACATCACAAGTATTTGACACATTTGATTGCAATTATATATTTATACGTTTCCAGTTCTGCAGCAGGGATTTTTGCCCACTCCTCCATGCAGGCCTTCTCCAGATCCTTCAGGTTTCGGGGATGTCGCTGGGCAACACAGACTCGTCCTTCTTTTTCCTCCAAACACGGCAAGTGGAGTTTGGACCAAAAAGCTCTATTTTAGTCTCATCATACCACATTATCTTCTCCCATACCTCTTCTGGATCAAGAGGAATCAACAAGTTGGTCATTGGCAAACTGACCCGAGACGGGTCCGCTGGCTTGAGAGGAGGGACTTTGCGCGCGCTGCAGGATTTTATTCCATGACGGCGTAGTGTGTTACTAATGGTTTTCTTTGAGACTGTGGTCGGAGCTCTCGTCAAATCATTGACCAGGTCCTGCGTGTAGTTCTGGGCTGATCCCGCACTTTCCTCATGATCATTGATGCCTCACGAGGTGAGATCTGGCATGAAGCCCCAGACCAAGGGGAGATTGACAGTCATCTTTAACTTCTTCCATTTTCTAATAATTGCCCCAACAGTTGTTGCCTTCTCACCAAGCTGCTTTCCTATTGTCCTGTAGCCCGTCCCAGCCTTGTGCAGGTCTATTCCTGATGTCCTTACACAGCTCTCTGGTCTTCACCATTGCAGAGAGGTTGGATTCTGTTTGACCTGAAGTAACACGTCATGATGCCGTCATCCACGAACCCAGAACGCTCGCATCGGTGCAGAGGTGATTCTTGTGCACCGACTACGGACCGCGACGACTATTCTCAGCCACCGTACGCTCGTTACTGAGCAACATAGAGGCGCCACACACGTGACAGGTGGCAGTGTCAAAAGCATTGCAAGTAAACAGACAAAGACAACAAAGTGTTTGGATTAGATCCCTGGTCCTCATGAAGTTCTTACACCTTTGCCAATTTGTTAAATTGCCTTGCGAATAAATGCTTTGCCATTTGTTAAAATCCAAATCCTTTCATATAATGATTTTTCACATGTCATTTATATCAGCTCACACAAACACTTCAACCATTTGTTCTTCCTCCGTCAAATTTTACAACCCATTGTGGCCTGCGAGTCAAAAAGTTTGCCGACCCTCCACATCTAATGGACAACCAAGTACTGCAAGCTAGACTATTATGCAGCTGTAGACAAAACACAGGGGGTCCCTGGGCCTGAGAAGGGAAGAAAAGGAGTTTAATATGGCTATTAAATGTGACTAAAACTAATTATATTTTAGTCTAGTTTTCGTCGACTAAAACTAGACTAAAACTAAGAAGGATTAAAATGACTAAATGTGACTAAAACTAATACGCATTTTTCGTCTAAAGACTAACTAGCCAAAATGAACACTGTTACACCCTGAAGCATTGTGCTGACCAGCTGTCTCCGGTGTTCACCAACATCTTCAACACCTCCCTGGAGACATGCCACGTACCAGCCTGCTTCAAGGCCTCCACCATCATCCCTGTCCCCAAGAAGCCCATGACTCAAGGACTACAGGCCCGTCGCCCTGACCTCTAGTCATAAAGTCTTTTGAACGGCTAGTCCTGACCCACCAGAAGTCCCTCACTGACCCCCTCCTGGACCCCTGCAGTTTGCCTACAGAGCCAACAGGTCTGTGGACAATGCAGTCAACATGGCCCACTACATCCTCCAGCATCTGGACTCCCCAGGAACCTACGCCAGGATCCTGTTTGTGGACTTCAGCTCTGCTTTCAACACGATCATCCCGTCTCTGCTGCAGGACAAACTCTCCCAGCTAAACGTGCCCGACTCCACCTGCAAGTGGATCACAGACTTCCTGTCTGACAGGAAGCAGCACGTGAAGCTGGGGAAACATGTCTCAGCCTCTCGGACCATCAGCACCGGTTCCCCCCAAGGCTGCGTTCTTTCCCCTCTGCTCTTCTCCCTGTACACCAACAGCTGCACCTCCAGCCACCAGTCCGTCAAGCTCCTGAAGTTTGCGGATGACACCACCCTGGACTGATCTCCGGTGGGGATGAGTCCGCCTACAGGTGGGAGTCTGACCATCTGGTGTCATGGTGCAGCCAGAACAACCTGGAGCTCAACGCTCTAAAGACAGTGGAGATGGTTGTGGATTTCCGGGGAACAGAGCCCCACCTTCCCCCGTCACCCTGTGTGACTCCCCCATCACTATTGTGGATTCCTTCCGTTTCTTGGGCTCCATCATCGCCCAGGACCTCAAGTGGGAGCAGAACATCAGCTCCATCACCAAAAAGGCTCAGCAGAGCTTGTTCTTCCTGAGGCCGCTGAAGAAATTCAACCTGCCAAAAACGATGATGGTCCACTTTTACACGGCCATCATCGAGTCCATCCTCTACTCCTCCATCACTGTCTGGTACGCTGCAGCCATAGCCAAGGATGGCTATGATATGTATGACATATTTTGGCAATAAATGTTTCCTGATTGCGTGTGTGGACAGGTGTCTTTTATACAGGTAACTAGTTCAAACAGGTGCAGTTAATACAGGTAATGTGTAGAGAACAGGAGGGCTTCCTAAAGACAAACTAACAGGTCTGTGAGAGACAGAAGTTTTTACTGGTTGGTAGGTGATCAAATACTTAGGTTATGCAATAAACTGCAAACAAAAAATTTCAATCATACAATGTCATTTTCTGGATTTTTGTTTTAGATTCCGTCACTCACAGTTGAAGAATACCTTTGATAAAAATTACAGACTCCTGCATGCTTTGTAAGTGGGAAAACCTGCAAAATCTGCAGTGTATCAAATATTTGTTCTCCCCACTGTACATAACAGTAAACTCACAGATGTAAAAACCAAGCAAGTGAGTTTAACTTACACGGTGTTGTTGAGCTTCATTTTCAGCAGGTCAGTGTAGTAGGTTTCATCTTGGATGTCTCCACTCTCTGCTGGAGCAGCAGCTGGCTGAGACCACCCACACACCCACACAAAATGTTATCACTACAACATTTGTATGAGCTTAAATTTCTCCTTAAGTTAATTCTTCAATATTACTTTGTTGCACAGCATGTGAACATTTCCCTTTTTTGGTTGTCAGCACTCACCTCCCCCTTCTCAAGTCTCTGCAGCTTAGTCATGAGATTTTGGATTTCTCCATTTTTCTCAGAGAGCATGGACTGGAGTCTCTCCAGCTGGGCAGGATCCGCCCTTGAACTCTGGAGCTGCATCAGTGTGGCTATCTGGACCTACACAGAAACATGCACATCCATCTGTCAGTCAAGTTACAAGCAACCAACAGGAAATGTTTAGCACCCTCGAACACATGGTACCTTGGTGCGTTGCAGTTGCTGTTTACCGAAGGCGTGTAGTTTCTGTAGTGACAGGTACTGGACCTTCATAGTGATGAGCTGTCTCTCCATCTGAGCACGCTTATCTTCCAACTACAGGAGAAAAAGCATTTTGCACACTAATTTGCACAGGGCTTGCATTTCATATACAAGTTGAACTTGCTTACCAACATATTTTGTTGCATGATGATGATAATGATGTTCAACAGTATAAAGTTAGAGAATTATTGTCAATTTGGAAATATTGAGACATGGATGGAAGAGTTAAATATTAGTTCATTTGAACAGAGATGGTGGTGATATTTTGAAGTGGGGTTATTTATTGCACATCCTTTACCAGAACTGAAGTCGCACCGGATTAAAAGGCGCACCTTCAATGAATGACCTATTTTAGAACATTTTTCATACATAGGGCGCACTGGATTATAAGACTCATAAAATACTGCAGTCAAACGTTTTACCTGGGTTTGCGTTATGCTAGGGTGACCAGATGTCCTCTTTTCCCCAGACATGTGCTCTTTTTGAGACCTAAAAAACGCGTCCGGCAGGGATTCCAAAGACGTCCCGGATTTTGCTTCGTCGAATATTTGTGTTTCTCTGGGTCTTTCACCAACTAGTTATTCCGCCCTTAAGTGTTGGAAATGGTGTCTCCCTTACGTTCCACCTTCTTGCGCGAGCTCTGACTGTAGAGAGCTGCAGATGTCACGTGCTGTACACAATGCAACTAGTGGAGGCAGATTTGAAATGTTCCCCATTTCCAGCAATACTGAGCACCTATCGTACCAAAGGCTCAAAATGGTCGTATTTGGAGGATAATTAGCATGTATCTGGCAACATTGAGATCGGTCGACCAATGACTGTTCTCTACAGTCATAGCTCATGTTTTTTTTTAAATTTAATCGTATGTCCTGTTTATTTTGGAACATCTGCCTATTGGAACTACAAATGAAAAATAGCCTTTTGGCTAACTCTGGCACATTTACAAAAATTTTTTTTTTTTTAGGTGCACTGTCCCTTATCAAATCAACCATTAAATAAAAATAATTGCATTATAATATATAAACTGTAAGCGTTTAAAATAAAATAAGTACATATCAGTTAACTTCTTCCGCTTAACAGTTTTATTACTTTATGTAAGCATTATTTACACATAAGTAAATTAAGTAATTAAAATGAAGTTGGTAACAGTGCAAAAATGTATATTTCCACAATTAACAAGAAGTTTTTCAAACAATTTTTTCTGTGTCGCACTGTGTCTTTTTCGCTATCTCCCTCGCACTCTGCCTCTTTGCTGCCCTGTCCACTTGTACCCTGAGCCGGTCTGGATGACGTAGTTCGAGCACAACTCATTTCAAGTTTGTGTTAGGTTTTTTTTAAATTATGGCTATGTGTTAGGGTTGGTGATTAAAGTTTGTGACCCCCCAGTTAGGGAACCACTGCGGTAACGAGTGAATTCTCCAGAGATCTGACAATTCCAAGAAATTCTATAACCTATGTACGACTATTGAGGCTCTACGTCAGGGATGTCAAACATACGGCCCGCTGGATGGCTAAGTGAAAAAATGACAGAAAGACATAAATTGAAAGTAGCTGCTCTTCCTAAAAAGGACTCTGGACATAATGTTAAGTCTGACTTGACATAGCATACACCAGTAAAATTAGCATTAGCTAATTGACGTCAGATTCAAACGCCTCCGTTGTTGATTTAAACTGAATGAGTGGAATTTAGAAATGGCTACAATGAAGTGCTGGCAATAAGAGTTCAGAGACAACTGAACAGACAAACTTTAGCATAGCAACTTCTAGCAGATTTGAAAAGACGTTACAAGGCTGGCTACATCAATCTGGGATTTACCACCACAGGAACAGCAAAAGCCGTATACAAGGAGGCTCCTTTGTTATTAAACTGCTGGTATCTGCAGTGGGATCTAGTATTTTTCACATTTGGTTTGGTCTGAAGTTTGGGAACCTCTGCATTGATAAACACTCTCTACTATCTCTCTTCTACACGTTATCATTCACGCGTTTACATACTGATTGCAGGAGCTGCCATACTCAGTGACACCTGCCTATCACGACTATGCAGAATTCATCAGCCTGGGATAAATTTGGGGTTTAGGGTCTTGCCCACGGACCCGGGGATTGAACTGACGACCCACCTTTACCACGGAGTCAATGCATTTTTCTACACCAGCAAAGAGAGCTTCGCCTGCTGTTGTATTGTAGCTAGCTCAGTTGGTTTTGTACCTCTGCAAACAGAGAGTTCCCTTTACTGTTGGGATCTTGGGCCTGCTGGAGAGCCTGGTCCAACTGGATCTGGAGGTCTTGGTTGGCCTCACGAGATTTCTATGGAGACAGAGATGCAAAAACAAACAGCATGAGATTAAAGAAACCCTGGGACAAAATGATGTACAGTGTGTTCCAATACACTTGCAGTGAGTAATATCGCTACACATGGAGGAAAGGAGACCCTTTGGGATGTGGTGGAAAGTACATTGTTTGCTGAAAATATCAAACCATAAAGCCGAGCCCTATAAAATATGTGATTTTGAGACATGCTTGGAAGTGCAATGGGAGAGTGAGAGAATTAGAAAAAGGTGAATATGGGGGTTGGGAGGTACACGGCACATCATCAATGACATCATCATCCTTTCCTCCTTGCTTCACTGAAATCTCAGAAACGCTGGCTGGCCGGTTGACCTTTCCTCCCTCCAAATGAGAACTTTTCGATTCACATTTATTTGATTTCAAAACGGTGAATTACACTCAAAAGCCACAAGTTTGCAGGTATGCAAATTAAAGTGCACACAAGCACAATAATGGCTATCGTTGATGGGGTTATGTTTACCTCTAATGCATTGAACCAGGAAACAGCTTCCACCTCGCGGTCCTCAGTGATTTGCTCCAGGTGGCGCTGTAGGCTGCCAATGGTCAGCTCCAACTGCTGCTCTTTGTACTGAGATTCCTGCAGTTTCTGCTCCAACTCCACCTGGTAGACATGACTCATTAATACAACTCCACCTGGTAGACATGACTCATTCTTGGGGTGAGGGGGCGTGTACACACACACACACACACACACACACACACACACACACACACACACACACACACACACACACACACAAAGTGGCAGAGAGCAGAATAAACATCCTATCATGTAGAGAGAAAAATAGCATGCAATAACACAAGATAGTTATTTTGTTTAATAAAAAAGTGGTATTAACCTGCTCTATAGGCAAGAGTAACCTTAAATTTACCTGACCTAGTAGGGGGGAAAACAATGTTAATACAACTCCAGCTGGGGGAAGGGGGAAAGGATGCTACGTAGAACATACTGAGATCAGATTTGGAGTAGTAGATTAGATGAAGAGGTTTATGGCTGTAAAAGGGAAGTTGTTTAAGATTATGAACCAAAAAGACACTATACTATAGCTGGTTTTACGCTCTACTCCCGCTCACCTTAATGTTCTCCAGCTCTGTGATCTTTATCTGCTCCTCCATCATCTCAGATGTCATAGAGCTCTGTGTGTGTTCATTTACAGTTTGCAGCTCCTCCATCTTGTTATTAAGAGTCTCAGTCAGCACCTCAAGTTTGTGTTTCAGCTGTTGCTCATTCAGCTGGGATTCCTCCAGAGTGGACTGCAAAGTCAGCATCTGGCCAAACGTACAGGAAAACACCTTAAGCAAGCTGAAGGAAACAATGTTTTCCATCAACGCTGCCAACCATCATGTGTACTTTACTGAAAAGCCTGAAAAGATGTTACCTTCTTGTTGAGCTCACTGAGTTCTGTTCTGTGGCTCCTATCCAGATGCAGTTTTTGTTCCTCAAGCTGCTGTCTTTGCTGGTTCTTCACAGAGTCGTGGTCGGACTGCAGTGAGTCAAGCATCCGAGTCTTTAACTCAACTTGCTTTCGAAGTGAGTACTTTTCTTGCTCGAGGGCCTTTATCAAATAAAACAGATGTATACGTTTGAAACCGCTCAGAATAATCGAAAGATCTCCTCTTGAGCAGCTTCCCAATTAGGGCTGCAACTAACGATTATTTTGGTAATCGACTAATCTATCGACTATTTTTTCGATTAATCTAATGATTATTTCCCCCCCCAAAAAATATTGACTCAATGTTGAAATTTGAATTCAAATGTATTTGAGTAACAAGGTAACTCAAGGTAAACATGTAAACATTATAAATAAACAAAATAATAATACAAATTAAAGTGCAAATATGCTTTTAAAAGTGCAAATAAAGTAACTCAAAATAACAATCAAGCCTCTGCAAGTGCAAAATAACATTCAAAGTCCAAAACTAAAAAAAATAGTCCATCCTTCCCGACAATTAAAGTGCAAGTAAGGGTTTAAAAGTAAATCAAAATGACTTCAGGGGAACACACATTTCACACACGTTTCAAATTGCAATGTAAAAACGTGAGCATATTGACATGCTCTGGAGTGAGGCTCTCTTCTTGGAGGCGATGTTCCCAGCTGCTGAGAAGAGATTGGCTCAGAGGGAGTAGACGTAGCTGGAATGCACAAGAATGATTTGGCTAGTGATGCCAGAGCTGGAAACCTTGACTCATTCAACTTCGACCAAGACAGGGGACTTTGTCTTTGAAAGAGGCTGCTCTCCAAAATACATCAGCACCTCATTACAGATCTTGGTTGTGCGCGTCCTCTTCACTGTTGTCATTGTCACTGTCTGTGGAGTCTGATCCAAGCAGTGAATCCAGTACTGAAACAGTCCTCCTATTTGGAGATCCCTTTTCAGCTGATGCTGTGGCATCTTGGTTCCCAGTACTCCTATCCATGTGCTGTAGTGCCAGAGCATGTACCTTGTTTTGAACACTGAACCTCTCCTCTGGTGTCAGGAATTTCAGTTTTAGAAATCGTTGGTCAAGTGCAGCTGCAATGATCTGTTTGCTGTTTGTCATTGGTGAAGGTGACCTCTCCTGACCACTGTGCAGTGGTTTCCTTGGAAGCAGCTGCCTGGAAGGCCTGCACAGGAGTTGTCTCATAAGAAGTGTGGGTGGACTTCAGAAGCCCTTTGACCAGAGGAGGCAGTGCAGAGACTGTCACATAACTCTCACCACTCAAGTACACAGTGGCACATTCAAAGGCCTGGAGAGCTTGGGCCAGTTCTTCGAGAAGGGTCCACTGATCGCTTTTGAGGTCCAGGTATTGTTTCCCTCTCTGTGTTGCCGGGTCAGAAAGGGTTGCAGTGACTGGCCACCTCTGTTCCAGTAGGCGACTAATCATGTGATAGGTGCTGTTCCACCTGGTACTGACATCTTGGACAAGTTTGTGTTCAGGAGTCCCCATTTGTTTTTGCTTCAATTTTAGGTTGCTTGCAGCCAGTTCACTTTTAAAGTGCTCAACGAGACTTCTTGAAGCTCCAAGTGCTTTGCTGATCTGTGGGTTTTTGAACGCATGATTTATTACTAATTGCAATTGAAATGTGTTGACCATCTGCATAAAGCCCTCATCCTCAACCATTGATAGAGGTCTCATGTCATTGACAAGCATGTTGAGGATGCTCTCCGTAAAGACTCCTGCCATCTGGGGGGTGCATGAGCCTCTCTTCAGGACAAACTTGTCCACACGCCTTTGCTTAGTACTAAAAGAGAAAGAGAAAAAAAACCCACAAAGCTTTAATTATCACGTTGTAGGCTATAGTATCATAGTTTTGTATAATGGTAGAGTAGATCTCTCGTAATTGTGTTGAAATGAAATTACTAATTTTCCACAATATTTAGTTTGAAGAATGCTAAGTGGAGGAGGTTAACTATTCAGAACGAACGAAAAGACGGGCTACTCTGATAATTCACTACATTGCACATAACATAACTGAAGTCGCGTTAGCAAGCATCCTCAATGAGACGTTCTGTTTTCCAACATGTAATCGTAAACCTTACGATAAGTTAACAAGGCTAACGTCACTAAGGCAGTTAACTTAAACTTACCCATCAGCAGGAGAAGACGTGGTGGCTCCAGGATGCCTCCGTTTCAAATGCTCATGCATTGCCGTGGTGCTGGAATGAAATGCTAATTCCATTTTGCAGATGTTGCAGTGTACTTTTTAATTTTGTTTGCTGGTAAAATATTCCCAGCTCTCGGTCTAGCTTGTTTCGGCTCTCCCACACTCTGTTCCGCCATTATTCAAAAACGTTCTTCTTCTTTGCCTTGGTGTATGTATGTCTATGCCTTGGTGCATATAGACAATGTAAGCGATACTGCCCCCTGCACTTCCGGTAGCGCATTGCAATGCTGAATGAAAATTATCGGCAGCTCTCAATCTTTTATAATATATAAAATATATGACGCGTCGACGTTAAAAATCCACGTCGACAATTTTTCACAATCGATGTAGTCGACTATTTGTCGCAGCTCTATTCCCAATAGAACATGAGCAAAGCAGGCCATTTACCATTAGCTGGGGGTTTTGTGTGATTTGGCTCAGTTGATCCTGTGGCAGTAGCGCAGAGATTGAACGTGGTTGATGGTATGCCGCTGTAAATCAGGAGCAGCAAACTGCATCGGTATACACCGCTAAACACAGCGCATACCACCTCACGCATTGGTATATAGGTAGAGTGTCCTGTACCCTTTTCTAAATGAATGTACCGTTTCCTAGAGCCATGAACGCTCCTGTAGATACACGCTCTACAACATCAGGAGAATACGTCCCCTTCTCACTCAGGTACTGGTTCAGGCTCTGGTCATCTCCCGCCTGGACTACTGCAACTCCCTCCTGGCAGGTCTCCCTGCTGCCGCCATTCGACCTCTGCAGCTCATCCAGAATGCAGCAGCTCGACTGGTCTTCAAAAATTCTCCCACACTACTCCACTCCTCCGCTCTCTTCACTGGTTACCAGTGGCTGCCCGCATCCAGTTCAAAACACTGGTGCTCACGTACCATGCTGTGAATGGATCGGATCCAGCTTACATCCAGGACATGGTCAAACCCTACATCCCGACCCGCACTCTCCGCTCTGCATCTGCAAAACTGCTCGTCCCTCCCTCACTGAGAGTAAAACACTCGACTAGATCACGACTCTTTGCTGTCCTGGCTCCAAAATGGTGGAACGAGCTCTCTGATGACATCAGGAACGCAGAGAGCCTTCACATCTTCCGCCGCAAACTAAAGACACACCTCTTCAGACTCTACCGTGACTAAAAAATTGTAGCACTTAATTGCTTCACCAATGCTGATGTTAGGCCTTCCCACATTGTTCTTTTTGGAGAAAAAGGAAAAGACAGACATGCATGTTTGATCTGGGGCCGTTAATCACAACCCCCCGCTTTTCGCTGGCTAAACAAAGACTTTTTTTTTGCTTTTATTCCCATTACCTTGGATTCAGGAGAGATCCGTATACTGCTTTTTTTTTCTCCAAAAGGATTATAAAGTGCCAAAGTTATTGCGCCTTAAGAGATTGTCGCTGCTGGATTATAATCATGGTTAGAATAGCTTTTTGTTTACCGTTTACTCGGGGATTGCGCAATGAGATTGGTTTTGCTGCTTCCTTTATTATTCTTAGCCCCCTAAAAAAGTCTGGAAATTAAAATAGTTTTTCTTTTTCTTTCTTTCTTTTTTTTTTTTTTTTTTTTTTTTTTTTTACACGCAAGCAGTTCCTAACACATGCGCGCAAAAACGTCAGTCTATGTGTCAGCCAAACTCTTCGCCCCACTACTCCTTGTAATCTTAGGGGACCCTGTATTTTTTGTTAACGACCCCAACCATGCGCACATAGTTTCAACCATGCTAATGTATATTGATTACAAGCTTCTTACACAAAGTCATTGAGAATTCCACCTGCGTCTGCGCTGCAGTTTGCAGCTACTGATAGCATTGCCATAGCGCTTGTAACTTTGTTTGCCTCTATGGTTTAATTGGGGTATTTTTTTGAATTATCAAGAATGATTATTAATAAATCAATAGATGTCAATAATTTAGTTTCACTATTTCACACCAAATAAGATCCTTGCAGTTCCCAACAGTACAGTTTCCTAAAAGGCATGCACCGTTTATTAAAGCCATTTACGCTACGTGTCGGTGGAACTATATTGGCATACCACTCCTGGCATCGGTACATGGCACTGAGGCACAGTGGCATAACACTGGACACTTTTGGGTATCTTCTTCACTGTGGTGTGGGTATCATACCTCCATTGCGTTGGTCATTTCCACTCTCTGTTCGTCCAGTCTGTTTTGCATTTCCATCTGCTGGTTGAGGAGATCCAAACCAGCTTGGGCAGCCTGATGAACCTGCTCCTCTCTCTCCCTCAGCTGACTCCTCAGTCGCTGGATCTCCTCTTCTGCTGCCATCTGAAAGTGGGGAAAAGAGAGGGTCAGCAAAACCTTCATTATGCTTCCAGGGAAATGCTCTTTGCACCTCAGAACGTGCCTCACAAATTAAAGAGAATTATGATTTGGTGGATTTGTTGTATTAGGGATGACATTTAGCAGTCTTATTGGTCATTAGTTTTCCTGGTGCAATGTTTAGGGTATTTGTATCGCATGTGTTCCGTTTAGTTTCCCGGTGTTACACTACTACTGGTTTCCCTACGCGTACGTGTTGACTTAACAGCAGCAGCTGCTTCTGTCGCTCATATTCACAAACATATTGCTGGAAATTTTCAAAATGCATCACATATCCACTGCAGCGATTACGAATGTATAATTATTTATAAGAAATATTAATGATATAAGAAATATATTATTAAAATATATTAAAAGGGAAAGATTAGAACAACTTGGATTCAATCTCATAGGAGCAAAACATTAAAGTGTTAAGCAGACGCTCGCTCTATAAGCGGGGCGCCACGGGGATTCACTAAGTGAATGTTGTTTGATGTTTGTTAGTCAAGTTGAATGAAATCAGTGTGGAGGAAACCTTCTGCTGTAGGGTGATCCAAAACAACTGGTTACTTCATGCTGCGTTCCCATGAAACGCAAGTTTTTCGTGCCACATACAGTCTAGTCAAGTTAATGAACAGACGTGATGAACCTGAAGTGACACAAATCTGCGATAGCGTACCAAAACGCAGCAAACGCAAAAGTTGAAATATTTCAACTTTTGCGACAGCCTATCAGCGTTGAGAAGCGCCCCGTCGTCAATGATGGCCTGCTGTCAGTACAGAATCAGAAAAAAATGGAGGATAAATGAATAGTAACTTCATGTGTGTGTGGGTAACCCGAGCTGTACGATAAATCCTCATGCCCAACGTTATATTGCGACCGGTCCAGGAAAACCCTTGCACTTTTAACAAACAATGTAATGGTACTATTTTATGGATATGCAGAGTGATCAGGAGTATGTCATATGAGGAGGGCGTGTACCAACGGCAGTCAGCACTTTGAGTTGTATGAAGCTGCACAGTCGATGTTGTATTAATATTGAATTAAGATGATAGTAAAAGTTGGCTAAAGATACCACAGCTTGACACTTATTGTACATATAACGCTACACCATATGTGCCTTTTTTTAACAACTTCCCATCACTCCACTGAATATAGTACATTATAGTGTAGGATAGTTGTAATAATTGTTTAACGACACACTGCTACTGAATATTAAGTACTATTGCAGGACGTTTGCTCAATAATAACGTGTGTGTGGCTGTTAAGAGCCGTTTGGAAGTGCTTGAGCACGGTGTCCATGGGATAGAAGGATGATGTGAAGTCCGGCCCTCGATCAGAGTCAACAATTACTTGTTACTGTGGGATCCACAGGAAGGACATGTACAGTACAATGACAAGTCAACTGACTTTTGTTATGGTCCGCTATGGTTTTATTGAGATAAACACATACCACTTCAGTAAAGGAGGTCTGAATGGGAGCCACTGGACTTCACTAGAACATTAGCAAAATCCAAATCCAGCCTCAGTCTCCATCTCTGGTTCAAAAGAAAAAATCCACACACCCACTGACCATTGAAAAAAGGATGATAGATTATCTTGGGTGGGAGGAAGACGACAAGAGAACCACGCGCATTTTGAAATGATTTAGTTAGCTAATAAGAGCTAGCCAACGTTAGCTATTTAACTAACGTTATAAAAAATAAAAAGGGTAATTTATGTTTTCTGTTCGAAGAAACACTTTGAACCTGTAGACCACTGCCTAATAGTCATTTGATGACAAGTGTATATACAACAAGCCAAATTAAGTATATTTATTATTTTTACTAGTATACCATTATTCCTGTGGCTTAATAGTCTCAATTGTTTTATCAGACTTCCTAGGTAACCAGTTGTTTTAGATCACCCTACACCAGACGGTTTTCCTCCACACCGAGTGGAATTCAAAACACAGCAAAGGAAGTTATTTTGGTGGATCACCATGGCGCACCGCTTAGAGCCACACTCTGCCTGCCTGTTTTCGTGTTTTACTCCAGGGCGGTTAGCAGGGTGATGTGCTGGTCAGCACAGTCACCTCACAGCAAGAGGGGCCTGGCTTCTAAACCACCCAGCCTCTTTCTGTATAGAGACTGCATGTTCTCCCCGTGTCTGTGGGAGTTCTCCCCGGGGCTTTGGCTTCTTCCAAGATCCCCCCCAGCGGATGACTGATTGATGAGATTGAATGAAAGACGTTCCTTTGTTTTCTTAAATTAATTGTTCTATGAAATTTCTGTAATAGATGCGTGATGCATATTTGCATATTTTCAGTAATGTTTGTCGAATCGAGCGACAGATACAGCTGTGATTATTAAGTAAACACAAACACGTACGCATAGGGAAACCAGTAGTACTAGAGTAGTAGAAACCATTTAGGGTGCAACACCGGTAACCGCACGATAAATAGCGTAAACACATCCGGTTTTATGGTATCAGCCTGGAAAATGAAGCCGCTGAAAATAGGACACAACATAAATTGTCACAGACCCCGCCAGGTGTGTTAACGTAACGTCAGCTCGAACGTCAACAACGGCCAGTAAACGTTTACGTAACATGCGTAACATTAAATAGCGTTAATGCCAAACATTTCAACAACAATGGCGCTTCAACTGACGTTTCTTTCCAGTCTCGTTCAGATAAAACAGTTACACGATCACCTCTCTTGAGAAAGGCCACCCAGTCATTCTTGAGAGCATTTATTAAAATAGTATGTATTTAGTTTCCCAACATTACCTTGTCAGCAAACCAGTTAGTTGACTCTCTGGTCTAACCGCTTCAGGTTTGAATTCAGCACTTCCTTCTTTCCTCCTTCTTCTTCTTCGGTGCTGTTTGAGCGAACCTTGGACAACTTTTGTTGCATTGCTGCCATCTTCCGGTTTCATACCAATTGTCCGTACCAACAACTAAAGTTTCCCCACATGCCCCGTTGCTCTCAAGAAGCCTGCCCTATAAGATGCTTTCTTCAATGGATTTACACTCCAGAAGATCCATTTGCCCTTTCTCAATATGCGTTTTTGTGTGGACTTGTGGACTCGTGAAACGTCAACAGTGGCAGCTCGAGTACTGTTCCAATTCTAAAATCGGCATCTGGCCGAGAACGGTCATCATACCCGGATGTGATTCGCCCCGCCCATTTGACCGGGCACGCATCGGAGCAGGCTTGTGCGTTCTTGTGAGAGCCAAATATCCCAGAATGCATTTCACCTGAACAACAGGCAACAACGACAGAGGAAAATAAACACAACTGTAGGTTGTAAGTTTATAAATACTAACGTTACTATATTTAAGTCAAGGAATGTCATTTTAGGAAACTTTCAGATGAGAAGTTAGTTGTTTAATTTACAACAACATTTCTGTGGTTGGTTTGTCAACATTGAGCCTTCTTAACATTTAACTCCAGGATGTGGGAGATGTGAAGTGTGGTTAACGGACCGTCAGAACATTTGGTTGGTATCGAAGGAACTGCACGCAGCTGGTTTAAATCCTATTTATTGGATCGATCCCAGTTTGTGCTTGTAAATGGTGAATTCTCAAAGACCACCAATGTTGGTCACGGAGTCCCACAAGGTTCTGTACTTGGACCGATTTCATTTACCCTCTATATGCTTCCTTTGGGCGATCTTATCAGGAAACACTGCATAAACTTCTATTGTTATGCAGACGATACTCAACTGTATCTGTCAATCAAACCAGAAGAGACAGACCAGGTTGTTAGACTTCAAGAATGTCTTGGAGACATCAAAACTTGGATGACTGGCAACTTCTTGATAATAAACTCAGAAAAAACAGAAGTTATCTTGAAAGGCCCTGAGTGCCAACGAAGTCAGCTGTCACGTGATACAGTTTTTATGGATGGAATTGCTCTGGTATCCAGCAGCACCGTCAAGAATCTTAGAGTTCTCTTCGACATATAAAGAAGACTTCAAGGACTGTCTTTTTTCATCTAGGTAATATATTGAAAATTAGGAACTTCCTGTCTCAAAGTGATGCAGACCTCTAGACTGGAGTACTGTAATTCTTTATCGGGCTGCTCTTGTAAATCTCTTAAGCCTCTCCAGTTGATTCAGAATGCTGCAGCACGTGTATTAAGAAGAAGAAAGAAGAAAAGGGATCATATTACTCCTGTATTAACTTCTCTGCACTGGCTCCCTGTTAAATCAAGAATATAATTTAAGGTACTTCTCCTCACCTACAAGGCACTTGCTTGTGAGGCACCGTCGTATCTTTAAGAGCTTGTAACACCGTAATGCCCTACAAGGCAGCTGTGCTCCATAGATGCTGGGTTACTTGTTCCTAGGGTTTTAAAAAGTAGGATGGGAGCCAGAGCCTTTAGTTATCAAGCTCCTCTTTTGTGGAACCAGCTTCCACTTTCAGTCCGGGGGGGGGGGGGATTCAGTCAGCTCATTTAAGATAAAGCTCAAAACTTTCCTCTTTGATTTTGCTTATAGTTAGGGCTGGCTCAGGTTAGCCTGGACCAGCCCTTCGTTAAGCTGCTACAGTATAGGCTTAAATTGCCCGGGGACTTCTAAGGACACACCGAGCTCCTCTCTCACGCTCTCTTTCTACAATAATTCACGTTTTATTAATGCACTAATTGAGCTTTCCGGGAGATTTTTTTTGTGCTTTCTCCCCTAACAGGTCTCCGTAGATCGTAGTACCTTCTGGACCCTGGTCCTGACACCTGCCGTGGCCCTGCTGACGCCTGCTGCTGCTACCATCATCATTATTTTAAATATTAATCATATTACTGTAATCATAAACCAACATTACCGTCTCCTAAAGTCTTTGTGCTTTCCCTCCCCACAGGCTTCTATGGATGGTGGTTTGCACGCACGCACACACACAATTGCCTATGAGGGTGACATAAGATGGTCAAAGTGTTATTTACTGCTTTTTTCCATGTTAGAATAAATATTTAAATATACAAGTAGTAATGGGTTTGTGTTTTTGATAACTGAATTGTTTTGCATTGAATCAAACTGGTATGTTTGCTGAAATTAATTAGATTGCCTTACCTCTGATATTTTCCACCAGCCGCCAGTTTCCAATATATAGACCAATGAATGTTATTGGGGCGTGGCTTTCTATATTTATCATCATTTTAAAAATGATTGTCCTATCATCACTAGGTTTGCCGCATATGTCCACATTGCTTCCTGGAACATATGTTGACATTTTCAATATGGTCAGCCACTAGGAGCTTCCGATTGTTTAACGCGGCCCTGCATTTCCGTAACTGAGTGTGGGAAGTACCCTCAGCATGCATGCATGAGGGCTCGAAACAACACGGCTTGCAGCTTTGATCGTGAAAGGAACTTCAATTTTCTTTCTAATTTTTGAATGTTCATTTTTGCTACAGAACACTGTGGCGACAAAAAATAAAAAATAATGTCAACTATGTTTGTGCATCTCATCACTTGCCTAAACTTTAACATGGCAATGTAGGTAGTATAGTGGGTCTGCTCACTATTTCACAGCAGAAATGTACATTCTAACCAACTCCAAGCATTGATCATGCAAGAATGTCAGTCAGGGTGTGGCACAGATGTTAACTGACAGGGTGAATTGCAATGGTCTTGAAAAACATTTTTCACTCAATGTAGTTATCATTAAAAGCCTTTGACCTGTATAAAATGCTTGTAATTATACTTATGCATGCCACAGTCACACCGGACAACAATTATCTAAACGCAGTGAAGCAGCAAACTTTGGGAAAACCAATACGGTCATTCTCACTGTATAACACGAACGTGGAACAGTTTGTCACTTTAATCAAACTTATCACATTTAATTACTCTCAACTGAAATTTCCATGTCGCTGACATCAGATTCCTAAATGGATTTCATTGTTAAATTACCACCAGTTCATTAGTTCAGTCATCAAACCTCCTGATCATCTGGTCATCACATTGAATGCAAACAGTAGTCTCCTGATGTTGTCAATCCACGTTTTTTACAGAACAAATAAAAATAGTGTTAATATTGTGAGCTTTGAGAATTCCTACTAGAACTACATACACTTTTGTCTTGTTATTCTATTCACAGTCAATCAATCAACAGTGTGTGTGTCTTCTCAAGCTGCAGCGATAGAGGCATCGTCCAGCTGTCGACCCTGAGGCTGAAAAGAGAATGGCCAATAAGTTTTCATCTTCAGACAGCAATAACTGCTAACTCAGCAATGCGGATGACTTTCTGTGAGTGTGTCACCTTGACAAAGATACGTTGGGGCAGGAAGCGCCTCAGTGAGTGTGTGTTGGTGGTCAGGCAGCGGGGCAGGCTGATGTTGAGTTGTGGTAGTGTTTGGTAACCAGCCATCAGAGGGTAATAGTTATAGAGCATCTGCTGCTCTGAGCCTGGAAGGATACGCAAACGTACCTGCACGCACACATGCAAACACACACACACACACACACACACACCATTTTCAACACTTCACTTGGAGACATCCCATGTGCCAGCTTGCTTCAAGGCCTCCATCATCATCGGCATCCCCAAAAAAACAAGGATCACAGGACTTAATGACTACAGGCCGTCGCCCTGATCTCAAAACCTTTGCTGACAGCTCTTGAACCCCCTGCAGTTTGTCTACAGAGCAAACAGGTCTGTAGACAACATAGTCAACATGGCCCTCCACTACATCTTCCTTCTTTTGGTTTCATAAATATAGCAGTTTTAGTGTGTAAAGGCAATTTTGCAGCAGAGGCCTGAAAAACACCTAGTGCAAAAAAGGTTAAAAGAGTTAAGTCAAATGCAAAATGCAGCCGTGATATAATATTCAAGAAACATCATATATATAAAATGTTCAAACATTCTTTACAGCTGATAATTCTAACAAACCTTCACTTAGGTGAAGTTTTGAATATGTACTATGTTAATCTGCTGTAAAGCATTTCGATAGTGATATTACTACTATTTCATGAATGTAAGACTTTGTCTTTGGTTCATTTAAGTCTCCACAGATTGAAATGCAACTCCGTCACTGCTGATTAAAATGTGAGCACCATGATACCTGTTTGAGTCCAGAGAACATGAACGCATCAGATGGTTCAACGGCCATCTCCACCTCCTGCACCAGAGAGGTCCTGTTCTTTATGTGGTAGCGGACTGAAAGAGACTCTCTGACTCGCCCATATGAAGGTAGCTCTACAGCACAACAAAGACATGAAGAAATGAAACAACAACACACAACTGACAGCAAGACAATTAATGATGAAAAGAAGAAAAATATTTTGTGTGCAAAGTTACTAACCAAGACTTGTAAGATGAAAGAAAAAGCGAGACTAACCAGCGTGGATGTAAAGAGGGACGGACTCCAGTATGACATGAGGTAGGGTCACTGCAGTTTGGATGAGTGGACTGTTTGCTCTAGAAGACTTTCTGCCGGACAGAGTAAAAATAAAAAAGAATGACATTATTACATTACATGTCCTTTTAGCTGACTGTTTTATCCAAAGTGACTTACATTGCATTTTTACCCCATGTTTGTTTATCATGTTAACTAGGGGTGTAACGATTCATTTTAACAACGATTCGAATCGTGATTCATGGTTGCCAATTCGATTCATGGACGATCCGGGTTAATTTAGAACGATTCGATTCAATTCAATTCAGTGACTTGAAATCGATTCAGTAACTTTACTGGACCGTGCAGGCAAAGTTTCTGAGATCCCTGTTGTTTCTTGTGAGGAAATCAGGTTTAAATTAATTACAGATATTATAAACAACCAAACAACAATTGATGGCAAATGTATTAACCTTTTATTGTGCAACCATTTTCAATGTAAACATTACACAATAATTACAATGTTTGGATCAATTCACAGAACCCCGGATTTTCAACCACATTGTAGGGTCGCATGTCTTTACAGTTAAACTTGGCAATTGTGACTGTGATGTTGTAGTGGGTCGTCGTGGCGCAGGGGTTAGAGAAGGTGTGCTGGGAAGCACAAGGTTGTTGGTTCGATTCCAGGCTGCCCCATGTTCCACGTCGAAGTGTCCCTGAGCAAGACACTTAACCCCTAATTGCTCCCCAGGCAAAAAAAAATGTGAAAAAGCCATGGGTTTAAAGT